ATGTCATTCCCCATGTTCAGGTGGTACTGCCTGGCCATCAGTATCTGCCTGTTGTCTCTTGTCCTGTTGCTGGGCCCCCCAGAGCAGAGCCTGATCCATCCCCTGACACCTCCTGCAGACACTGACAGACACTGACAAGGTCCCTCTCAGTGTCTCTTCTCGAGGCTGAACAGCCCCAGCTCCCTCACAGCCTGTCCTTCTCAGAGAGTCCAGTCCCTTCAGCATCCCTGTAGCCTCTGCTGGACCCACTCCAGGAGCTCCATGACCCTGGACTGAGGAGCCCAGAACTGGACACAGCACTCCAGATGTGCCTCACCAGGACCAAGTATAGGAGCAGGATCACCTCCCTGACCTGCTGTCAATACTTTTCTTAATGCATCCCAGGATTCCTTTGGGTTTCTCTATCATCAAGGTCATGCCTGGAAGCTGCTGTGAATTTCTGAGCTTCCTGGTTGGATTTAAAGTCCTGTTTCACCGCTGGGGCTGAGCAAGTATCCGTTTCAGCCCTCACAGGTATTCTTTCCACATGCATCTGGTTCCACACAGCCCTTTATAATCCTGCTCTAAGAGCACTAAGACACTGGATTATGCATGGTTTTAGAAGCTGATCTGCTGAGGTGGAAGTTTCTGTGCCTGATATGCCAGGAACAGTGTGTGCAGATAAGCAGGTGGACAACAGCTTACCCTGTGCCCCCCTGGCAGTCCTGCCCTTCCAGCTCCCTCCAGGAACTCTGCTCCAAGGAGCACCCGCTGAGTTACGGCCTCTGCCCGCGGCTCCCGCTTCCTGCGGAGGTTCTGCTCGGGCGATTCTCCCGCAGCATCCCGGCCCGCGGCTGGCACGGCGCCGCGGGAACGCGAGGGAGCGGAGCAGAGAGGGGCTGAGCCTCTGGATAACTTTCTCTGTGCACTGCTGTAGCTCTTTTGAGCAGAGTGCAGCGGAGGAGCTGATCTCCCGCTCAGGGGAGAGAGCATCTCTTTCCTCCTGTGCAGTCCTGCAGTCCCCAGGGAAGCCGAGCACCTGCCCGCACAGGCACCGCGGTGAGTCCCGGTCCTCCCTAAACACGCCGTGGATGCCCCGAGCTGGGGAAGAAGGCTCTCAAGAAGGGGAATGCAGAGGAGATACCTGTGCCTGCCTGCAATCTCAGCCCTGTTTGTGGCACTGGAAGGTGTTTTAAGGCAGAGCTGACAGAGCCCGGGGGGCTGTGCCTGGCCCTGACCGGCTCCCACCGCAGGGGCTCGGGCAGGAGGGAGCACAAAGCACACACACAGCTCTGCTGCCTTTTCCCCGGAGTTTTGCAAAACTTCTCTTAATTACTGCCGTACACAAACCAGGAATCTATCCCAAAGCTGCAGCACTGATGGAGCTACAGACTTCATAATACAAGTATCGGCCTACGTGGAGTATGAATCCAAACAGCCTTTCCCCCGTGCCGGGGCACACTGCACCTTCCCAGCAGCAGGACAGCAGCAGTCAGTCCCTCAGGGCAGGAGTCACTCTTCCCACCAGAGGTACAGCCCAGCTGCTGCACCTCCTGCCTTCCCGGCACCTTGTCACAGCAGGAAACTCTTCTCAGCAGGACACACATCACCCGATTTCGCTCCTCCCTCCCCAGTTCAATAATTTATCTTATAAAGGAGGAGCTAAGAACAGATCATTAAAAAATAAAGAACCTCCATGAAAAATGTATTTAAACTGTGACAGGAAAAATAATTCACTGAAGGAAAGGCCAACCCCGGTGAATGATTCAGGACGCTGGAGGCAGCGAGAGGCTCCCTGAGCCGCGCGGCAGCACTGCTGTCCTGGGCTGCCCCCGCCCTGCTGCAGGGACAGCAGCTACGCAGCAGGAACAGCTCCTACCGAGCATGGCTTGCAAACTCTCTCACTTAAGGGCACTTCCTTTCAGCACCTGAATGCCCAACTCACAGTGCCGGAGAATTTCAGACTGTACTTTTATCCAGGGGGTCAGTTTGGACAGGAGCAGCAGCAGAAGGGAATTCCGAAGTCACCTGCAGTCAAACAGGTAATTCTTTGTAAAGGTAATTCTCAGGAAATGCACAGCCACGTGCTCCTGCCAGGCCCAGACATGAGCAGGGTGACAGTGTGACAGAACAAAGCACACAGCTCCACACCTAAGACAAACACAGTTGCACATCTGGATGACACAAACAGCTCTTGGGAGCAGCAGTTGCCATGGACATGGACATCCTTAGCCACCCGTTCCTCGAAGCTTCCAGGAAAGCACCTGGCCATGTGATCCAAGGACACCTCAGCCTGCCATTACCCACCCATGACACAGACCTGCCACTTAAAAAAACAACAGAACAGAGCCTGGACCCACACAGGGTTGATTTGTGTCACTTGGCCACTTGTGGGAGACCTGGGTACACACAACCAGCCTCAGGGCTGGCAGGCTGCACAGTACAGAATCCACCCTGGAATCAGCCACAGGAGAGCCAGGAGCCCTAGGTCACACCAACCGCCCTGCTGAAAGCAAAGCAAAGCAAAGCACTGTTTTAGGTTGGAACTCCTCAGTCCACGTGGAGGAAGGCAGCACAACACTCCCAACTGCTGTTCAGACCCCCTTGCACACCTGCCTCCCCCATCACACCCCAGGTGTGCTGCAGGCTGGGCCCCCAAGGCACTGCCCCTTCTTTGCTCCTGTGCCTGCATCAGGCCCTCATCAGGTCAGAAAGCCTCAAGCTCCCTCTCACTTCACAGTTAGGCTACTCACTACTTCTGAGATTTTTAAGTCTTGGTCCCTTCCAGTCTGTAACTTAAAGGAAAGCTCACAGAGTCAGCACTAGAGTAGCCTTCCGTGATAGCTTCTCTCTTACCCAGGAAACTGTCTAGAGTGCTAGAAAAAAAACTCCTTTCCTAAATACCTGAGTTGTCAGGACAATGCAGCTGTAAACTGTGGTTTTTGTTTCCAGTTCATGACACACAGAAAAACGGAAGGGGAAAAAGGAGGCACAGATCCATTCATTGTGGCAAGGAGACTGCACCTCCTTGGAAAACTGGGCTGCTAGAAGCCACAGTGGGTGACTGGTGCTGCAGGCTGACAGCCTGTTTCAGAAGGCTGAGGCCTGAGCACAAAGTCCCACTGCTACTGCAGGTCACAGGGCTTCAGGCACCTCATGAGTGCAGCAGCAACACTCTCAGAAGGGACTAACCCCACCTGACATCAGACACCACCTTTCTGCCTATGAATGAGGCACAAGTTCCAGAAAGCTGCTGTGCCATGGCTGACTGTACCCCACAGAGCTCTCCCAGGCAGTGACAGTCCTGTTCTCCATCCCAGGCCAGGATACCATCAATTCCATGTTGGACACTTTTCTGCTTTTATTTAAAAAAAATCCAGGATGGATCCAGTAAGTTTTATTATCAAGGAAACTGTTTCACCATAAGCAGAGAACAGACACAGGACAGAGCAGAAGGCTCAGACAAGCAAAGCATTTAACTTCCACATAGCCTCTCTTGTAGGAAATAATGTTACAGCTGTTTGAAGTAATCCCTTTCCTTCAGAACGAGGGTCCCAGCCTAGCTCAGAGCTGAAAGGGCTCCAGCAACATCTCGACCCTTGCCCTGCTGCTCTCAGGCCTTATTACTGCTCACAGTACTCAAATCCACGAGGACAGGTTCATACAGGCCTCACTGCCCTCCCCATTTCAGCATGCTTCCATCTCCACCCCTCAAATTCAGTGACACGGTTTCCAAACTCGGATCTGGATTTAGTACACCATTGTGTCAATCAGTGAGGCCCCAGGTGCCTCAGGTGAGCATCCCAGGGCCAAACACCTACCTTTGTCTGGCATGAATTAACCTTCATCAAGTGACAATTTATCTAGCAGACACATCACTAAGTTTATACATTAAAGAATTTTATATATAGAATACTGCAAAAACACAGTAAGTCTGGATTCTGCCCCTTGCTGCTCAGGAAGGTCCCTTCTCTCCCAAGCGTCAAGAAATCGACCTCTTCTTCACACTCCAGCCCAGGTGAGACAGAGACTCCTTATTGCTTCTCTTCCTTCTGATCCCCTGGGCTTCCAGAGCCCTCTCGCTCAGAGGCCATCTGTGAAAACATCAGCTTGTTAGCTGTAGTGACAACTGCTGCTCCTGGACATTGTTCCCTGGCTCACTGCTCAGCTCCGGCCTGGAGAACCCTTTCTGCAGTGCCACCAGCAATTGTCCACTGGGTAACAGAACCAACCCTCATCTCTTCATGAGCTGTGAGAGGGAGGAAACATTTGCCCACTATTTATGCTTTCCCAGGGGATACAACAAGCTTACACTGCAGCACTGTTGGTTTGCAGCTTTCCACAGTAAGGACAGCCTAGCACCACCAAGGGCACCTGGGCAGTGTGCCACTGCCATCCTGGGAGAGTCCCCAGACAGGTAATACACACTGGCCAGGGCTCCAGTAGGTGGGCACTTCACTGGGAAGCACATGGAGAGGAAAATCCCCATGACCTCACTACTGTAGATTCAGGCAGACTGAACAGGAAGCCTGTTTTACATCACCCCTAAGTTCAGGCATTACTTTACTCCTTCGGGTACTCCGTGCACCAAGGGCACTTCAGGCTCTTCTTGATGTTCCTTATGAGGAACTTCCAGCACTTCTCCACAGAATTCTATACAGTAACAGAACCCCTGGCCCAGAGGCTACCTATGGCAGCATGTTCACAGTGTCAGGCCTCCAACTCCGTCCAATCTTCCACAGCTGCCCCTTCAAGTCACTTGGGGGGAGCTGCACCAAGGCTCAGTGACACCTCCCAGCCCAGCACTTCCCTGGAGTTTGGTGTCATGACTCCCCCCTCCCCAGCTGAGGGCTCTCAAATGGAGATGACCATGGACCTACCTTCTTGTATGCCATCTCAAAGAGTTTCAGGGAAGCCTGTTGCAGGCTGGTTGCTGCCTGCCTGATGTTCTCTCCTGTTTCAGAATCTTTACGAGCCAGAAGTTCCCTCATTTTAGCAATTTCTTCCTTTAATTTGTTGCACTGCAAATAAAACACAAAATACCCAAAATGAAATGCTGCACTTGGTTCACTGAGAATCTCCACCCTGTCATTTTACCCATTTACTGGCCACAGCAAAACTACCTTGCCAGAAGCCCTGAAGTTAAGGCTCCAACAGAGTCTGCAGGGATTAGGAGTGTGCCCAGTTCCCAGTGGGCACCTGTCCACTTCACTAACCATGTCCCAGTTGGCAATAATAGGGCCCCTTGTTTGCTGTCTGGGCAGAGGCGCCAAGGACAGAGAGCCCTGCAGAGCCTGACAGCTCGCCAGGGACATGCTCGCTGCCTGGCACACCTCATCCATGAGTCAGCCACTCCAGAAGCCAGGAAAGGGGAACAGAAAGCTGGTTTTCATCCATATTTAAGGCATTGTCAGAGAGCCAACAAGCAAGGCTGCTCATCACCCTGTTTAATGCCTTTGTCGCATGTGCAAGGAGCAGAGAGGCAAACCAAAGCAGTACAATCCCAGCCCAGCTCCTGCAGCCATCTGTCAAACCCTGCACACAGCCTGGCATTCCCCTGCCAGCCTGGCTGGAAAGACAGGCCTGGAGCAGAGGGGCTCCTGGGGACAGCTGTGCCCACGGCACTCACAGCCCAGACGTGGGCAGAACTCGCAGACACACCATGGGAAGGGGAAGGTGAGCCACAGCTTGTGTCAGCCACCATCACCCCCTGGCAGCACAGTGCTTCTGCCAAGCACTGCTTCCCCTTTCCCCTTGGCATTCCCCTCCAAAACTGTTACAGGGAACAGTGCCTGCAGGGCATTTAGGCTCTGTGCTCCTGTAAGAGAAAACTCCAGTGATCACAACCCCAAACACAGACCCAGCCAAGATCAGAGAATGACAGACTGGTTTGGGTTGGAAAGGACCTTAAAGTCCATCTCATTCCATCCCCCTGCAATGGCCACTCAGTAGCCCAGGTGTCTCCAAGCCCTGTCCAACCTGGCCTGGAACACAGTGATGGAGCAGACACAGCTGCTCTGGGCAACCTGTGCCAGTGCCTCAGCACCCTCACAGGGAAGAATTCCTTCCCAACATTCCACCTAACCCTGGCCTCTGAAAGTTTAAAACCACTGCCCCTTGTCCTGTCACTATCCGGTGTGCTGAGAAACAGCCTTTCAACCCACCCGAGGCTGCTACCAATAATTCTGTTCCCACTAAGGCCTCACAGAGCTCCCAGAAACCCTTTTATTCCCAGAGTTGTTAACATGAAGACTGGGCACTTTGTTTTAAACTTGGCTTTTGAAATTCACAATGCAGAAACTATCCCTCAGAGTGGTGTGAAAAGCGTTCTTTAATACTAAATATCTCTTTCTCTCCCAAGACAGAAAAACTGGAGTTAAGTGGACACAGCGCTTTTTATTGCCCCCAAGCTCTTGGGTGCTGTGCACGTCCTGCCAGGACAGCACAGCAGCTCTGCCCTTGTCCCTGCGCTAACACATTGGCCGGCACTGTCCATAATCTCCAGTTTTGGAGCACAACTGTCCCCTCAGGAGCCAGCCACAGCACAGTTCTTATCAAACCACTGCAAGGCCAAGCCAAGGACATGGCTCCTACAGAAACCTTGCATCAGCAGCTTCCCAGGCTCTCGGATCCTCAGTGACACTGAGCTTACACTTTGAAATACAGTATTTGCTGTTAACCAAGCCCTGTTCCTCTGAGTTTGTCCATACATCCTCCCCTCAGCCACACTCATCCCAAAGTGCACAATCCAAGTCAATGACTATGCCATCCTTACCCAGAGCTGGTGCAGTGCCCAGAGCCAGCTGTGAGTTAAGGGAGAATATGAGCAAAGATTGAGTAAGGAATCTTACCTGCCTCACCATTACCTACCTCATCTGCTGGCAGCTGATCCTTGAACTCCTCCATCTTGGACTCCGTGTCATGGATGATGCCCTCAGCCATGTTGACAGCCTCCACACGTTCCTGGCAGAGGGCACACAAGGGGCTACTGCACACAGCTCATACTTAGCAGGTGACATTTCTTTCCCCAAACGGCCAAACTCCAATTTACGGCCCACCCAAGGCCCTTCTTAGCAACAAGGGGTAAGAAGAAATGCAAGCAAAGCATTTCTAGATGCAGTGTGGCACCAGCAGGCCCAAAGACAGTCTGTGCGCATCAGCCCTCTGCTTTCACACTCAAACTCACTTCTCTGAAGTAGAAGTGACTAATGCAGCATTACTGGTGGCACACTGAAAAGGCCACAACCTTCAGGGACAGCACAGCAGGCTCTGCTCTGCTCCCTGGGAAAGCAGCAGAGCTTTTGGAAAGTATTCTTAAGCTTCTTCAGCAACAAGGGCACTAGAGACAACTCAAACTCTGGGCTGTGTTACTCATGTTCCCTTATTACAAAAAACTGAGTTATGCATTCATGACAGTAAAACCATGATCACAAAAGTGTAGCGAGGGAATTTTGCCACAGTTAGCCACTCAAGTAAAGAGAAGTGTTAGCTAAAGTAACCTAATCACCCTCCTCTGAGAGCTCACTGGACAGGGACGAGTCCCACTTCAGGACTACAGCAGAGCGGAACTTACTCAGCAATTTAAGATACGAAGTAAGGAAGCAGGGAAGTTTTCAAGCAGCCTCTTTGAATGCCAGGCCTGCCCCTACATTTCATGGCAATGATGAGGTTATTTAAATAGTGGGACTTTCAGCCCAATGTCTTTCAAGGTTCTTCATCTAACCTACAGATGCTCCTCAGCCAGTGCTTTGTGGCTTTTGAGATTCTGAGGCAAGGTGATGCTGCTTCACATGAATTTATTCCATGCCTTCTACCCCTCAGTTCTCTTCTGATCCCTTCACTACCAAGGGTGAGATTTACAGCACTGCCTGAACACCTGAGACAGGTTCCTACAGACTGGAAGAACACAAAGTGCATCAGTTCAATGTCCCAGTTTCAGCAAACACCAAACATGTTGGAGCCACAACCCAGAGCAGGTCTGCTTAAAAATCAATGTCGCAGATTTAGTTTCAGAATTTGTTAGTACTACCTTCATTAAACCAATTAGTTCCAACCATTAATCCCATGAGCATCACAAGTTTGGCCACTCCACCATGGCAAGTGTCAGCCTTTTTTTGACAAACCCAGTGAGGATTTCCACCACCTCCTGATGGCCTCACCTGCACCGAGGGCCAAGAGTGTGCTCACACAGACACAGCATTCAACAAGCCACAGTGCAACTTTAACCACTATGGAAAGCAACTTCCACTCATAAAGGAAGAGTTTGAGGTCCAGCTTTGCTTGGCAGGTTCTATGAACTAAGCTCTAGCATAAACTCAGAGTAGCTTAACTATCCCCATCCTGCCTCCATTTAACTGCTCATGGATGTGAGCAGCCAGTCGCAGAGCTGGGTGCTTGGCTGCAAATGCACAGCCAAGGTAACAGGCAGGTGGGCAAGAAAGAGCAGTGATGACAAAAGGCATAACTAGAGCTGCACAGCTGTTTGTCATGAGCTATAGGCAGGTAAGTTTGCTTACTGTTGCCTCTATGACCCAGGAGCTCCTTAGGGAGCAATTAAAATGCTGTTGACACAGGGCAAGGGACCCGACCCAAACTCAAGATCCAAATGTCTCTGCAAATACCTTGCAACTCTGGAGTGTAAATGAATGTAAGGCAGCAGATACTTGGGCACCAGCTGCAGAGCTGACAGAGCAGAGCCTGCAGCTCCCTCAGAGGTGGGCAGCAGACAGCATGTAGTGGTGGTAAGCAGCAGGTACACCACTCGCTGGGAGATGCCCTGACCATCCCCTTACCTTTCTCCGCCTGTCTTCCTCTGCATATTTCTCTGCATTCTTTACCATGTTCTCAATTTCATCTTTGCTAAGGCCACCAGAAGACTGGATCACAACTGCAGGAGAGAAGAAGCATTGATGAAGGACATGCTCTCATCTTTGAGGAAAAGATAATTTCCAAAACCTAATCCAGGACAGAGTGCAGGGACTCTGTAGGCAGTACAAGGACAGTCAGTCTCTGAACAGGTAGCAATGCTGCTGGCAAGGTAACAGATTGATCTCTTAGATCTACAAACTCCCCAGCTCTGCCAGACACTTCCTGCTTGCTGGTCTGCAAATCACCTCTGCCAGCGTTCAGTTACTCCTTCTGGGAAGTGAGGGTGCACCAAAACCCCAAACCAAAGGAGCATCCCAGCAGGTTAGAACCACTAACTAAAAAACACAATCCACCCAAAAACCCAATCAACCAACAAAAAAAATCCAGAGAGAAGGAATTGTTTCACCAGAGATACCCTTCCCTGCTGGAAAGCACCCCAGGCTGGTGGCAGGGTAAGACAACATTCCCCACCCACCTCCTCTCACTGCCCTTAGTAAGGGAAAGAAGCATGACCATGGACAGGTTCTTACATGTTCCCTCTTTCTTTTCCTCCATTAGTGTCCAAAAGTAGAGTCTACACTTAAACCAATTTCTGCAGTAAAGCCTAATTTAATTGTGAAAGAGAGGACCAACACCCAGGATATCATGAAGTCAGAAACAGTGTATGCCAAGACCCTCACACGAAGTTTTCTATGTAAGATCTGTCAGTGGTACGACACCCTGGACAAAGACAGACATGCACACGTGGATGCAGGAATGGGATGAGCAATTCAGCCTTGTACTTAGGACCACATCTGCACACAGGTAGGCAGCTAAAAGAAGTTCTGGTTGCCTGTTATCAAGAGACTTTCCTCAGCAGCAGCAGGCTGCCACGCATCCCAAATCTACAAGGAAATCAAAGCAACAAGCAGTGTGGTTTTGGTAACAAATTACTGCTAAGAAGCCAAGCAGTGTGACTGAGAGTGGCACACACCACGGAGTTGCACATACAGAGTTAATACTTTTCTCAGCTGGAAGATTTCACTGCTCAAGGGGTTGTCTCCAAAAAACAATTGAAGGGCAGCATACAGGCTTCCCAGTTAGAGGCACAAAAGGTGTATTTTGTATCAGGGGAATCTATAAATGCTTCACATTAATTTTATGAGTCCACAACAGAGCTTTAGAAACTGTCAGTTGTGTCATTAATTATCACAGAACACCAGGTCTAACATTTCATTGCACCACAGAGCAAAACACACTGACAGCTTGAAATGCCCAAGCCTCCTGCCAGTTAGAGAACACTGCCAGCCTCAGTGGATGAAAAGGAACAAGGTGGTTACATGGAGTACCTGCTGCTTCAGAACACTGGAACCTCCAGACCTTTGAAATGAAGTAATTACAAACAAACAGAGTCTGGGCACAGGGCTGATCTGTTCAGCTGTACATGACATGCCTTGGGAGTCAGAGATCTTCCCAGTTTGACTGCTCCCTCGAAAGCTGGCACCTCCATGCAGACAGCCATCCCTGGATGTTAGCAGAGGGCACTCCCAAAGAAACAAAACTCAGCAGCACAGCTCAAGGACAACTCCTCCAAGGTACTGCATTCCCAAATCCTAATTCCTGTACCTTCAGGGTAACACAGGCAGAATGACACTGCCCTGAGTGTCTCAGTGACACAAGACACCCCTGTGAAGCACCAGGAGCACTGCCCACAAACAACTGCATGCCTCTGGGCACTGAAGCACAGCTGATCCATGCAGGAAACATCAGGAAACAGCTGCACTCTGCTCAGACATTGCTGTAGCAATCCCAGCAGATGGCAAGACCATGAAAGGACTGTCACACAGGGCAACATGACATGGAAAGTAGTAAAACCTTGCCAGTGAGGACTGCCCTCACCTTGGCATAGGCAGGTGCTGCATCTCTGCCTAATGTGCAAGGACAGCATCCATTGGCAGCTGTCTGCTGGCAGGCTACTGCAGGGTTCAGAGTGCTGTGTACTCACAGCTTTACTTCCCTAAAGCCAAGCTGCAGGTCACTTCTGTCACTTTTCCCCCTCCCCATCCCATTTTCATTTTGCCCTCCTTTCCAGAGGAGGCACTTAGGCTGTGATGACAACTGCTGGCAACAGATCGTGTCATCTTTGTCAAGCCACACACTGCACAGTCCCCACCCTGGGCTGTGGAATGCCCATCAAGGCAGCACTCCAAAACGTCTGGGGTCACTTAGTGTTACCTCACTACTGCCTTGTCCCTGGGCAGCACCCCAGAGCACTTACTCTGCTGTTCACGGCCGGTGCCCTTATCCTTGGCTGACACATGCACAATCCCATTGGCGTCGATGTCAAAGGTGACCTCAATCTGGGGCACTCCGCGTGGCGCAGGGGGGATCCCGACCTGAGAATACAAGTGTTGCCCATCAGCTCCCACACAGACACAAGCTCAGGGCATGATGGTCCAGTGCCGGGCACCTTGCCTTGGTGGTCTCACACTGAACCAACTATTAACGAGCCCTCAGAGTCGAGTCCTCTAAACACCTGTTGGCATGCTGCAGTGCACTGCACTCTTGATTTAACAGGATGCAGGTTTGTACCCAGGACAAGTGCACAGAAACCACAAGGTGTAGCCCCCAAGTTTGGTTTCAAGGTGATACAGGTTCTGCTTTACTGCCAAACAAGCTTCTCATCCATATACATGGCAGGATGCTCCATTTCCTCAGGTTTTCTTTTCTGTGGGGCTCTTCCCAGCAAGCTGGGACAAACTGCACAGGGATTTGGTTTGGCAGCCACACACTACCCACACCAATCCCTGGAGCATATCTGCCCTCCATTAAGCAGGATGTGGTGCTCAGTTTCAGAAAGTGTCCACACAATTCTTCTTCAGAATGATGTGTTGACAGTTAACATCACGGCACACACACTGCAACCCACACCGGGGCACAGATGTCCTGAGGAACCTTGGTTCACATTAACTCATCTCTCAGGCACTCACAGAACAGCAGGGCTAGGCTGGAACAGGTTACCCTAGGGACTGCAAGTACCCTGGAGCCTGCTTCAAGCCCTGGCTTTGCAACACCAGGGGGAAGGCCAGTATTCAGATTATCTGCTGCACAGGCCTGGTACTGTACAGATCTTTTGTGCCCAGAGAGACCTCTTAGGTGACCAAATCTTAAAGCTGCAGTAGCCCCCATGCCACATCAGACTGCTCAGAAACTCTGAGCTCCATCTTAAATGCCAGCTGATCCTCTGCCACGGAAAGGCTGTCCCACAGAGCCAGGCTGTGCCCCTGGAGCTTGCTTTTCTACTATAAATGGGGTCATCTGTATTCTGGAAGATGACTCCCCCCAGCACTGCCTTCAGGGGTCAACTGAAATGGAGAAGGCTCTGAATGTCTCAAAGAAGGTCAGTTCTAAGGTCATGAATAGAGTGGCTAACATACCAATGTGAACTGGCCAAGAAGCTTGTTGTCACTAGCCATCTCTCTTTCTCCCTGGCACACTTTGATCTCCACTTGTGTTTGCCCATCAGCAGCTGTAGAAAACACCTGCAGAAAAGGAACACAAAGTTACTAGATAGGTAATAAATTGGAACACACCAACTGATGCAGTTATAAGCTGACTGAACAAGGAATAAAAGGAAGCTCCTTGGAAGAGAAAGAATTAAATGATTGTTGTTCTTCTGTCCATCTGACAAAACTCCAAGGTATCAAGGGCAGCAACAGCCAAGCTCACTGTCACCTTGTCCTACATGCACTCGGGGACACAACAACTGTCCATGCCGCGGCAGCAGCAGGCTCCATGGCAGCCACCACAACACCTGGAGCAGCAGGGCTGTGGCCCAACCCCGTGCTCCAGGCAGAGCACACAACAGCAGGCCCAGACAAGGCCAAGTGAAGGAAAGGATCACACCCAAATCTACCAGGGCCTTACAACACAGGCAGAAAGTTAATCCCTCCTGAGGCATGGAGCCCAAGAAAGGTGGTCCGCAACAGGTGTGGTGTTCAGTTGCAGAAGATCTCCACGCAATTCTCTTAAGAATGTGTTGACAGCTAACATCATGGCACACACCCTGACAAGGCCACAAACATCCTGGGGACCTTGGCACACATTAACTCAACTCCCCTCCCCTCTTGGGCACACTAATAATCAACAGAGATACTCAGTGGCTGACATTAAGCCTGATTTCAACTCGACTTTTCCTTGACAGACAAGGAAGAGACTGAGATCTACTGGGATGCCTTGGCGAGCCTTCACTGAGTGTCTGAGTGCACCCCAGCAGCCCACCCCATCCAGAGTGAATTCATACCTGGCTCTTCTTGGTTGGGATGGTGGTATTCCTGTTGATAAGCTTTGTGAAGACACCTCCCAGTGTCTCAATCCCCAAGGAGAGGGGAGTCACATCCAGCAGCAGCACATCTGTTACATCACCAGCTAACACACCCCCCTGGATAGCGGCACCCATAGCCACGGCCTCATCAGGATTAACTGCTTTGCTGGGAGCACGGCCAAACAGCTCCTGCACAGTCTGCTGCACCTGCATGGAGAGACAGCACAGCCCATAGGTAGGGGGAACCACCACTGCCACACGGACATGCCAGCCTCAGCTCAGCTTTGTATCCTCCTGCTGCCATGGAACCCTGCGGCATGACAAACACTAAGCTTCAGGTCTGTGCCTGTTCCCTAATTCCATACACCCTATGCACTCATTTCAGACCAGTCAAGCCCTTCTCTGAAGGCTTTTTTGCCATCAGGTTTGACAGCTGCAAGTCAGCCTACATCAGTGCTTTCATGTAGCCCAGCCATATTCAGAAGGGATCACTCCTTGTTCATCTAGGAGTCAAGGACTGCTCCCTGGGAACTCCTACAAGCCAGCACTGAGCAGAACACAGCTGTCAAGGACCGTACAGCTGTGAAGGCAGAGCACAGGGAAGGGAAACAATCCAGAAGGACAGTCCATCTTGTCTGCATGCAATAAGGGAACAGATGAAAGAGAAATTGTACAAAGAACAGTATTTTCAAACCCTTTATTTAACAGGCTGTTTCGGCAGAGCAGATGTGCTGCGTCAGCAGTCTGGGCTGCGTTGTTAGCTCTGCACTGCTCAGCCTGTTCGGAAGGATTGTGCTCAGGGCTGCAATGGATTTACTGCTGAGGCATCCAGACAGGAATGCAATAAGGGTCTGCACCAGAGCACAGCTCAGAACTCGCCTCCTTGCCCTACAAGGGAAGGGTATGGGACTTGTGCTCCTTCCCAACTACAGCTGTTGGGCACACATCAGCACAGGTGAGTGTGACATGCCTGGAAAGCTGTGCTGGAAGCAAACACTGCAGCCAGGAGACACCTGCCCAGAGTGTTCATTGGAGAGGAAGACTCTTGATGTGCAAGCATATAATTAAATGCAAGTCTCTCCCTCTGGAGGCACATTTTGCAGGACAAAAGAAACATGACTTCTAACCACCCACAGTACTTCTCCTGGAGCACTGGCCATGGGAGTGCTCCGAAGAAGGCACACTCCCTCCTAGCAGGGTGAAGAGAACAATGCACACAAGAGAAGGCTCTGGGCTGTGTACCACACACAGGCACTGATTTTAGAGCCAGGAAGCACTCAGGAAAGCTTTCTGCAAGCTCAAAGCCACAGATGCTGGGGGTTATAAATAAGGGGTAAAAAAGAAAAACAATAATAAAAAAATTAAAATCCGTATTTAAGTCCTGTCTTCCACTCCCAAAGTATACGTTTCAGGAAGGGCTTTCACAGTTCCAGAAGTGTTTGTAATCACTTTATATGTAGGTAATCACACCATTTTCCTTTATCCAGGAGGAACAGCAGGGACTTTGGGAAGGTACAGCACAGGTACTCCACTTGAGCTTTGGCCAGATCAGGAGCTTCTGTTTATCTTGTTGCTCTGCCACTCCTGCCTGAGTGACCTTCTGCTCACACTAACATCACCTCCAGCCACCAGGGAAGAAAAACCCTCCCATCAAATCCCAGATCAACCCCAAGCAGGATCATGGACACACCTACCCTAGAGAGAACCTGCAAATCACAAAACTGAACAGAAAACAAATAGTCCTGATCGCTCTGGGATCAGCATCTGATGCTCTCTGTAGGAAAGGACACACTGTACCCTTGGCGAGAGTATACTTCCACGTTCAGCTCTGGCCTCAGGGGAGCAGCAGCCTGCATGGCTGAGAACAGAACAGTAAACCACCTGCAGACAGCACCTTATCTACAAGACTGTGCATGTCAGCACAGCAGGCTTTTAAGTGACCCACTGGTGCTTATCTTCAGAGAATATAAGGGCCAGGCATTAGGTAAGGAGTGACTGGAGCAGCCAGTGAAATGGGCTTACCAACACCCAGTCTCACACAGGTAACTGAATACACACAGCCAGCAGGTTACAGAGAGGTTCTGCTCATGCTGTTCTGTCACAGCTAGCTACAGCGCTCTGCACGGGGAGGAAATCCCCTGGAAGGCAGAGACTATTGAGAGGTGACTGTCAGTGAAGTGTACCTTTATCACACACTGAGCCCACAAGAGAAAACACTGTGTGCATCCCCACAATGCTGCTCATGTACAGCCCACATGAGAATGTCAGGCCGAAGTTGAACTTTCAACTCCCGACACCTTCCACTTGTCTTTATGGAGTGCAACAACCCCCAGATCCAGGCTGAGCTAACTGAACAGGATAAGAGTCCCTTCTCACTCCCTTTATGTGACTCCTCAGCCTGTCTGCTCTGCTCTGGGGCCCTCAGCTGCTGAAGCTCTGGAGCCACCATACTCAGCCTTTCTGCTACAGATCCCCCTTGACAGCAAGCACGAGGCAGCAGTGACAGCTCTGCCTGGAACAGGGACTTAGCTCATACCTTCGGCATTCTGGTCATGCCACCAACCAGGATGACTTCCCCAATGTCACTCTTGCTGACTTCAGCATCCTGCATGGCCTTCTGGCACGGGGCTACTGTCCTCTTGATGAGATCAGCCACGATGCCCTCGAACTGTGCACGGCTCAGCTTCATGTTCAGGTGCTTCGGTCCAGAGGCATCCATAGTCAGGTAGGGCAAGTTGATGTCTGTCTGCAGCACAGCAACACCCACAGTGAAAAGCAGG